CGAGCAATTCCTTGGTGGTCTTCGAGATGCGGTCCAAGTTCTTCTCAGAAGTCACTGAGGCGCATTCTCCGCAGGCTCGCAATCCTTTCAGAAGCCGGTCGTAGTCGTACGTTGGGTCCTCCTCGATGGGCCAGTCACAACTTGATATGAGCTCTTCCAGCCTGTTACCGTCATAAACGACTTCCTTCCTTCTCGCGGCATTATGACAGACTTTCTTTTCCAGCCTTCGGCTGAGTCGTATCTTCGCTCGAAGGAGGCGGTGATCGGAGCCACTACAGAAGGATGGAACTACAGAGACATCGAGTAAGCTCCACCTTCGGTTGGTGAGAATGTGGTCGATCTCCGCGTGGGTCGTTCCGTTGGGCGATTCCCATGTCCACCGGCGATGTTCCTTCTTCATAAAGATGGAATTTCCATGGAAAAGTCGTGCGGCGGAGAGAAGCCCAACAAGACGGTTGCCGTTTTCGTTCCGGAGCCCATATCCAAACTTCCCGATCCTATATTCCCTTTCCAGTGGCATCCCGATTTTCGCGTTGAAGTCGCCCACAACAAACTTGTAAAAGGACTTCTCGTTGCGGACGACCTCCTCCACATCTTCGTAGAAAGCATCTAGTTCTGATTCGTCAGCTGCTGATGTTGGAGAATAGCAGTTGATGATGCTGATGGTCTTCTGATGTGGAGGTCGTAGTCGTAGGATGCCTAGTCGAGGTGATAGGATCTCGTGCGAATCGACAAGATGGACGATAGATGGGTGGACGACAAAGCCGACGCCTCCCACGTTTCGTGATGGGACCTTTTCACCACGAATGATGAGGGTCCCATCACTCATCTGTCGCACGTCCTTCTTCCTGGACTTCGTTTCCTGCAGAGCAATGATGTGGTAGTTGATGTGCTCTGCAGCGTCGAGAAGAGCGTGGAGGTCGGCGTTTGTGGAGACTGTCCTGGCGTTGTAAGTGCAGAGCATGAGGCAGTCTCCATGGCGTGTCGTCCGGGCAGACGTGTCGTTTTTGTCCAATCCGAAAGGCGCCCTGAGTACCCTGACATCGTTCTTGCTACCACCCGGCGCCGTAGGCGGGATCCGATGTACAGGGTTTTTTCTAAATCTTCTTGCTGTCTGAGTAATAAAATTTGTTCCCCTACAAGAGGTGGCTTACTAGGCCTACTCTTGATTTCCACGGGGTGATCGCTGACCCCGGGCTTGGAGCGGGGAGGGACCGCCTAGCGACCAGAAGAAGCCAGACGGCGGAGAATCTGGCGCGGCCAGTTCTTAGCTAGGCATCCGGCCGAAACCGGAAACGTCGAACTCCTTCACAGCTTGGGAGGCCCTACCAGAGTATACACTCGGCTGTGCATCGCAGTTCGACACCCAGTGTCACCCCCACGCCACGATGAGGCGACCGACCATTGTGGGGGAAGTAGTTAACTTACCTTTGAAACAAAGTAACATGTTTGAGAAATACCATCTCACTTAAATGGTTCTGTATTTGGAAACCTCAGAATTCGCTGAAACTTGGATCGTAGGAGTTATTTTATTTGCTAATTACAAAACGATGCTTTTATGCTTTAAAAATCTTTAATTGTGCTTACTGTACGTGTACGATAATGGGGCAAACACCAATGTGCTAGTATTTTGCATGACGGGCCTTTTGACATTGTTAACGGATATCATGTTATGCGAACAGCGGACTTCTTGATAACGACCCTCCCCGTCCCTGATTCCTCAATACGACCCCCCAGGTGTGGCATGCACACCCCACGCTTGACCCTGGTTCAAACTCTTTCTTGACGTAACAAAGACGGGACCCCAACTTCTTCCGATATAAGATGGACAATCTCGAAGAACTCCTGCACCTGCATTTCCGCTCATCAACGAACGTGCCACGTCTTTTGTTCCTGAGGAAGTACACCAAACATACCTGTTGATGCGCATCGCGATGTAGACTTTGAAAACATTCACGGCTTGCGATTAACTTTCTAGCTGTTTCTGCAAACCGGAAAAAACCATCGATACAAGATTGCTGTGTCGCATTTAACATTCGGTCTTCACAAAGAAGGATTCTAATCAGTAAAGAACCGTCCTCCTCTTGGAGAGCAACAAGTATCTGACTATTCCAGAGCGTGCTCTACAAGGCTTTTTCACGAATACCTTGCTTGCATGGGGAACTGAATGAAGTACAGCTCACAGGGCAGAAACTGAACATGGTGCAGCACGCTTCTTAGGGTTTTCTTAAGTACTACAATTTCATAGTCCGACGATATCAAACCAAAAGCCTAGGTCGTACTTTTATAATAACCACATAAAGTTGTGCCGCTAGTGTTCGTTTGGGAGATACAATGACAAATTCAACAACAGTTTTAACATAGTGCGGCGATGCGAACAACACATGCGATGTCGCAACCTTTATTTGTTTCAATTTGCGAAAGAAGAATAGTGTGTTTGTAATAAGGTGGACTACCACTTGGTATCAAGTTTTGTTTCCATTTTCAAAGAAAACGCAGCAGTCCATTTCAGTTGACAAAATTCAAAGATGATAAATGCATTCGAAGCCTGGCCGCATCACGAAATGAGCTCTTTTTGTTGAATAACTAATAAGCTGAAAGCATCATCGACGCTATGATCGGAGTAGAGGCGGGGTTCTGCCAGCTCAATGCGTGGCGGTTTTTGATAACGAGAAAGCACGAAAAACAATACTATGGCAAGGAGTTTCAACAACTTCATCCTTGACAGAAAAAGTCCGCAACACTTCTCTACACATCTATCGTGGAGACGATCATGCCTGCTTTTTCGCCGAGCAAATTCGCGATTTGAAACATTGGGCAGAGAAGAGTTTTTGGGCCCCATTGGGCTCAGAAAAAGCCAACTAGTTCACGGTCCCAGAGTCTCGAGCCCATCTATTGTCGCAACCGTTTCCCCAAGCTCTGTCAGGCAGCTGACAAGAGATTGATCAGAAATCGAGTGGCCAATCCGAACAAGCTGCTTACCCATATACGCAGCATGCACTGACTTCGAAACCGTATTCTATAATTGCTTAGCAACCATGCGGGCAAAGTAGTGAGCCGTTAAAGGCCGTTATTTTGCTATTAGCAGTACAGTGACATGCTCGTCTTAGTGCTGGGCCAAAACATCCAACTAAGTTACATAGTGTTCTTAAAGCCTAAAGGTGAATAAAAGTGCCACAATTTGCTTAACTTCACAATTTTTATGTAGGAAGGATTTTTTGGCCATGAAACTGCTTACTTCGTCCACAAAGCCGCTAGCAGATATGGAATACAGATTCGAGATCAGCGTTAGTACTACATCAAAGGTAAGCAGATTGCTTGGATTGGCCACTTCGACTTCTGATCATTCTCTGGGAGGCCTGGACTGGACTAAAGCCACTGCGGAAGTCCCACAGAGCACTTGAGATCAGTCTTTTGATGTTTATACAACACAAACGACATCTTGTCTAAATTCGCAGTGATCTCGTGAAAGAGTTACTTCATTTTAAACACCTTCTTCATAATAATCAAATCTTCATTTTTTCTTCTTTCTGAACTAAAGACTGTTTTATCAACAACAGTTCTGCCTTAATCAAGTCGCAAAGCACTGTGCGTCAGTTAGTCTTTCAACTCGCGTCAGCATGCTTCGTAGAGAACACTGATAGGAGAGATGACAGAAATTCCTTGTAAAGAGCTTAGTCCAATTGCCTCACAAATCATGGCGTCACTTCTTGTAGCACTAAATTTGTAATAATAAATTTAGGTAATAAAGATTTTGGAGGATCTGCAAACTAATAAAATAAAGCAAGATTTGGAAAACTTGCTCCACTTATTGATAACTAGAGTAACATCTAGTCTGTATATCCACAGACTGTGGCAGCAGAAAATGAATTTCTTCCCAGGAATTCGTGATTTTAGTCATCGTCGACATAAGGCCTCGGGCATACTTCATGCGATTTCAGTCCCCACACGATCTGGCAATTCACCGGCTTTGTTCAAATCCAACACTGGCAGACTACAAATGCATAGTGTGTATAGTATGTATAATTTTCTTAGACTGATAAAATGTGCTGTCTTCTATACATTTGGATTGCGCTTACGACTCGTTACGGACAACTGGAGTATTGCCAAATCGCGTAAATTATGCAGGAGTTCTTGGGCCCAAAACATACCTCAAGCGAATTCAATCGCGACGCGATTAGGCGATACTCCAATTGGTTATAACCCATAGTAAGGGGTTTTTGAATAAACGGAAGATAGGCCATTTTATCAACCTGTAAAAGTTATACATGCTGTGCTTTTGGTGTCTATCAGTATTGAATTTGAAGACATCTGGCAAATTGCCAGATCGCATGGCGACTGAAATCGCGTGTGGTACCCCTTGGGCCTAACGAATGCTCAGAGCGTTAAAGGAGATTAGCCTTTGATTCTCATGAATGGTTATATGCGTGGAAATATTAGCGTCATTACCAGGAGTACAATGAAAAAAAAATCAGCTCTAATTTTTTAAGCATCTAACGGAGCTAGCGACAATCGTAACTAATGTCAGAATGAATTAACAGAAAGAACGTATCAAGAATAGATTTTCTAGGGAGAATCAACAACTACGTCAAATAACGGTTGTTGATGCATGAGTCACGCTTATCTTTGGACTTTGGAGACTAAGCGAAATAAGTTGCGTGCTATCAGTCAACCTTTGATAGAAGTTATCGGAAAGAATTTGGGCGCTGGGACGGCTTACGACTTCCTTGATTGTCGTTAGCATCTCGTATGTCTTGAAGAAATGCTTTTGATACTTCTGTTCTTCTATTCTTTACATTTGGTGAGCTGCAGATTTGTATATAACATTACATATTTTAAAAATTTTCCTCATAATTCCTTGAACGTAGACTAACGCATCCGATGCATTTGACGAGACAAGCTGTGGACTGACTAAAGGCTGTTTTCTGCCTTCTGATGATGATTGCCACGGAGGCTGCAATGGGATGAAGTTTTCTTGGCTGACGAAATCACAAGATTTTATGCAAATCGAATTGACCGCAAAAGCAAATGACAGCAATGTGGGATATGCCGCTGTTGGATTCTCCTTGGACAATATGATGGTAGGTCAACTGAAAAAGAATCTCTCGGAAAAAGTTTACCAAAAATTGCATTTTACCTCTCTCTATTTTTTTTGTTTTTTCCCACACTCCCTACTTTCGCTTTTCTTTCGAGAAAAAAATTGTTGTTTAGTTTATTTGCAAATTAAAGTGACAACTTCCATGGATCCATGGCGGCAGATATCCAGAAGATTAAGCTCAAGCATTTAGCATTTTTTTCAGCACTCAATAATGTTGCATAGCGTAAAATCAAAACGATTGAAGATCGTGGGCGGATTATAGGGCAAAAAAGCAAAACAGCGAATTACCCTAATCCACTACTGCAAGAAAAATTACAGCTGATTTTTTTCTATCTGATCCGTGATTTTTTCAGGGTGATGAGAGCGTTATTGAATGCTCAGCACTTAATGGAGATTCATTAGCTCTGAAAATATCGTACAACATCAATGCCACTGCTGATCCATCCACAAAGGGTAAACCTACAAACCAGAGATTGTCCGGAATCGAGGTATGAAAATGTCATGGTCATAAGTTATCGTTGTTCACTTTTTGAAACGCCCTCTGAGTGATGTATATAGTGTTCGTCTTCACTGCCCTACATTTCCTCGTGCTCAGACAGTCGACGGCATACCTCCGGTGCAGAAATGGCAGAGCCGCGGGGTTTTGCCACTCGTGCTGCGGAGCCCTCCCATTTTGTGCTCCGGAGGTGTCCCAAATCTGGCGTACGTCCGGAGCGCAAATCTCTGCTCCGGAGCTCTCCCAAATCTGGCGTATCTCCGGAGCAGAGATTTGCGCGTCCCGGAGAGGGGTCCCATTCGCCTGCTTGTGAAGTCACCGTGACCTGCAAGAAGGGATCGCCCCCTCGCCCCACTCTTAATGGTCAATTGAGTCCTCCGCGGCTCTGCCAGATTTCGACTGTCTTCCGGAGCTACGGCACCGACTGTCTGAGCGAATACGACCCGAAATTTCTTAGTGGACTACATGAGTTTTCTGTAGGGAACTATTCTAAAAACAATGAACATAAAGTTTATGACTTGTTGATATTAGTGAATCAAGGTTTTTTATAGGCTAAAGAAATTCAATAAATTTGTGAGAAAATTTCAGCGTTTTGGAATGCTGCGAGACACTTTCTGGAAGCGTAAGCGTACCTAACGACATGACCATTTACTTCCAAAAAACTTTTTGCCTCCTATTTTCTTCAAAAAATAAAATCGCTATCGTTTTTACTCCTAATTTCAGAATTCCGAGTACTTCTCAAACGTGAAGACTTTATTCATAAGTGGAACTATTTATTGCTCTGCGGTGTTAAATGTGGCAGGAGCGGTGAAAGATAAATGGTTGAAGTTTGATCACAATGACATGTACTATTTGCTTATGGCGAATGGTCCTACTAGTACCACAGGTATTAAGCTCTTTAAGTGTTTCAACTTCAATGTAAACATACTCACGTATGGACTTAGCGTAGAAATGTTGGAAATAAAGTTTCTTCTTGACTACATCGCTTCGATTTTCTTGAGAAATCTTATCGCTTTTTAAATCAAAAAAGTAACAAATGATCTTGACGGACTTGAAATTTTGATTAATAAAAAAAATAAATACGAAGTAATCCATATATGAGTGAGCCCAAGTCTCGTTATTTTCCCAAATCGTCATTTAACTAGGCAAGGAGAACAAATGGCTGTAAATGGTTTTACCTAACTATACTTACGTACTACTTTGCTTGGAACGGTGATCATTTGAACGTTTTATCTTCAGGACTCCTCCAGCACAAACATGTTGTGGCTTCAGCATATCCAGTGAACCTCTTAGACGTAAGTTTTCTTGTTTTCAAAACCTTGAAATGATTTAGCCACCTTCTTCAAACGCCTTGCAGTCGCACGATCAAAGTCATTTATACCCATATTTTGCATACTTCTCTTCGAAATGTGTTTTCCCAAAATCTTGACCATTTCGAGATATTTTTAGGCGATATCACATAACACCTTTGATGCTTCCACATTCCGCTTCAGTGGGAATAAAGCAACCCTTGGACAGTCCAAGGGTTGCTTTATTCCCACTGAAGCGGAATGTTACCAAGGCTGTAATGGAATGCGATTTTCCTGGTTGATGAAGTCATCTAATCTGCTGGAAATCGAGTTGTCGGTGAGAATGGATACAAATGGTAACGCTGGTTATGTCGGTGTTGGATTTTCGACAGATGATATGATGGTAGGTTTGATTTGTTTTCTTCTGTAGAAGTAATTTTATAAGTCCATTTTTACGGGTAGAGACTATATTTCTTCGAAAGAGGAGGTCCCGCGCGGACATCTGCAACGAATGCGCATCGCTTATAGCTGCAAAAGATGCGTATTTAAGCAGTTGTCCGCGCCTCCCCTTTCGGGACATATAGTCCTCACTCATTTTGACAAAGCGCAGATAATACAATACTCAAAAAATTCCTGGAAGATTTTACCTGGATGTGCGAAAAAATAAATTCTTTAACTATCCAAAAATCATAAGAGGATTCGCCCATTTCCGGATGTCGCGGACCTTTTGCACAACTGCAGTGTGTGCTATCGTAACCCAAGGCAGAGCTTCAAAATCCCCACGCGCACGCTCAAATTCCTATTTTAAACATTAGAAAAGAATACTTTGTACAGCATGAATTCCTCCGTGATATGATGTCGAAGTACGGTAGCATACTGTACCTGCGCAAAAGAAACGTCGTATTTATAAGTCGTGTGAATTTCTCTGTTTCAGGGTGACGAAAGTGTCATTGAGTGTTCAGCACTCCAAGGAGAACCTCTGTCACTGAAACTGTCCTATAACATCAACGGATCCACTACGACAGATGGTGAACCTACAAATCAAAGGCTATCAGGCGATCAGGTAATTAACACAATTGCTGTGCCCGCTTGATTTAAGCAACAGAATATCCTGATTTTTTTATTCACAGGTTCGATGAATAGTGAACGAAAGACCGTACTCGTCTGATTATCTTCAACAATTTTTTGCAGGTATTCAAATATTTTGTCAACGCAACAGCGTCGCTCTCAGACGGAATGATTTACTGCTCAGCAGTACTGAATATTGCCGACGCCGTGAGCGATGGCCGCCTGAAGTTCGACACTGGTGCACTATACTATTTGCTTATGGCCAATGGTCCTACATCTGCAAATGGTATGAATTACTCTGAAGACTTACAGAAGCTAGAAAAAATACCTTTTGTGTTGTGAAGTAACAATGTAAGGATCGGACATACGTAATCATTCACGATCACACACCACCAATTTTTCAAATTTGTTACTGTAGGATTACGGTAAGGCTATAGCGCTAATTTTCAGTTATCCAGTTCAGCAAACTTCTCTTTTCACTAAATAAAACCGCTTACCACTCCAATCCCACCTATCGTAAGTTTGCAGAAGAATGCATTAAAATGAATGAAAATTATAAAAAAAAATTATAAAAATTCAGAGGGCCAAGTTCTGTATTTCAGCATTTTTTTATGATTAGCTATACCTCCGTACTGACCGTAGACAATTTTTAAGTTTTTTCCCAGAGAATCATCAAATACGCATAACAGTGCATTCACGGCCCCTATTTCAAATCAAATTAGGATTTCATAGCCCAAACCCCTACCTACCCACATCAAATCAAAATTAAGTTGTAAATACGAGTCAACATTTTATTAAAAACTTTCTGATAGTTAAAAATGACATCAAGCAAGAAAGTTGATCTTTGCATTTCATTTCTTGTTTAATATACCTGGGAGTTTGCATGCAATGTTATATTGTCATAAAACTCACTACTTTTATAGGACTTCTTCATCATGTTCATGATGTCACCTCCGTAAAACCTCTGAACCTTTCAAACGTCAGTTCAATAATTGAGTAGAGTAGTCCATAAACAATTAGGTTTGAATTTTCAGGTAGTTCCTAGTTTCGACACGGATTCATGCGGAATACTCAAAGGATGTTTTCTCGCATCAAATCCTGACAATACACCCAGTGGAGTCGCTGTTTCCTATCAGTAAGGAGTCGACTTTTCTCAACATGGGAGAAAGACTGTAGTATTACAAGTTATGGAAACTCAGTTTTTCTGAATAGATTTCCCCATTGTTTCATGTATAATCGAGTAGGTTCACTTTCTTATTTTAAAGGTTGCACATTTTATGGAATATTGAAGATGGGAGGCAAGCTTTTTCATATAAAGGGCGTTAATGGAACCACTCAAACTTCTTCAAACTTTATTGTGTCTAATTAGCAATGCAAAAGGAAAACAAAACCAAGAACAGTCCCATGAAAACTAATTGGAACGCCTGACCAATTCCATCCTTAAATTGTGCAGTTGCACATATTAGCAGGAAAAGCTTCTTGACCATCTTATAGCTTGAAGAAAAGTATACATAAGATTATAAGAGTCTAGTTGATTTTCCGCTCAGTGTAGTGTGCTGGCAGTGTCAAGCTTGGGCGACGAAGTTAAACGTGAACCATTAGCCAAGCACACTGCCGGCATTTTGCGCGCAAGTGGGCGGCATTAAAGCGTAGCTATTTGCTCACGCGCAAAGGTGATTTTCATGGCATAGCAAGCACACTATATTAAGTGGAATAGCTACTGGACGGTACTTGCTGAAGGAGGATTTGATCAGCAAACTTCCCGTGATTGACTTACTAAGAACCTACACTTCTTCGCTCTATTCATATTTTTGAAAGTCGCCTAGTTACCGACTTTTTACCCAAACACAAAAGCGTATATTCTAGTGTGGGCAATGACTCCTTTATCTACTTCGAGCTAGTGGCTCCATCTACATCGAAGTATGGAACTTTTGTAGCTGTTACATTCTCCCTCGATGGCTCCATGGTAAGATTATTCAACCATTTTTCTTTTTATTATTTGAACCTTTTTTGATTCAATAAAAACCCTTTTGTTGAGAACTGGCAGCGTTCTGGCAAATTCATCAAATGAAAAGCTTCTTCAAAACCTTTCGAGTTCTTAAAAGCCATTAAACCTCTCATATCCATCTCTGGAGTTTTTTATGTTTGTCAATTCTTAACCACTGTCCTCTTAGAAAATTTTCTTCGACATCTCCCTGTACATTTACTGGAAGGGGAGGAATGACGATGACGAGTGCAAATTATGCTAAATCATTTTGCAAAGTAATGCCTTTGATATTCAGGCGAACACACCAGCAGTAGAGTGCTCGTCGCTTGGTACGGATGATCTCTCAATGAAATTCTCCTACAATGATGCATCCGGAAAGAATGTACGAATCGCAGGAGAAGAAGTATTTTTCATTTCTCAGCTTTATTGCATGATAAGAGTGTTGCTCAGTATTAGCTGCGAGATATTTCGCTGAAATTTTAGAGCATTCGTAACTCATATTTTACCTATGAATCAGCAGTATTCCAAGATGGTCAGATCTACTGCAAAGCTTTGGTAAATGTACAAGGATCCCCAGTAAGCAATGAGGTGAAATGTTTTCTTATCGTTCCCTCTACTTTCTCTTTTTTCTTTTTCTTGTCTTTTGTTTCTCCTCCTTCCTCTTCTTCTTCTCCTGCTCCATCTTTTTCCTCTTTTTCCTTTTCTTCTCTTTCTTCTTCTATCCCTTCTCTTCACCTTCTGCTTCTTTGTTTTCTTGTTTTTCTTCTTGTTTCTTCTGGCTTCTTCTTCTTTTTGTTCCTTATTCATATCTCTTCTTTATATCCTTTTTCTTGCCTTTTCTCTTCTTCTTGGTCATAGTTTGTATATTTTTAAACTTTTCAGGTAATCACGTTTGCGTTTTTTCGGCTTTTGAAATTCCTGTGACTTTTCAAATTATCACAACTCCTATTCATGAGGTGTTTGGGTTTTTATGACTAATATTAGATATTTCATCTACACAACGAAATCCTAAAGATTAACATTCGAACTTATTAGAGTCTCATTAAGATCACCGATTCTGTATTTTTAACGAAAATAGGTTACAGTTTAATTTGAACTGTTGACTAATCTTAAGCAGAAATTTACTGTTACCAGTAAAATTCTGCTTACTACTTTTCAATAGTTCTGGACTTGTCAAATGTTCACCTCCAAATTATCAAGTTTTTGTTTTATTTTCATAGCATAAATTATTAGATATTCACCTACACAACGAGTCCGTACGTTCTTATACTGACTACGGGCGGTACTGATAAAAATGGTAGGTCTAAATTGAAATAACTAGATTTTCACTGGCACATATCAATTTTAGGTCTTCTTCCACCAACATCTAGCTACACAGCAGCGCTTGCCACGCCGTTATCCCGTAACGAGGTGAGGTAATTACTTTTGAAAAATATTCAAAAAGTTGTGATTTGAGGCTAAATTCAATGCTGGTACTTGTAATGTAGAAAAGAACTGTGTTCTTCCCGACGAATGCTACCGAGGATGCAATGGGATGGGCTTTTCCTATAAGGTGATGTAGCATCCTTCAACAATCTTGGAGATGTCTGGGCTGAGTTTCATCAAACTCCACCTTCACTAATGGTCTGAATTTTACATCTTCTTCTAGATTCTTCCAAACTCGTTAATGAAACTTGAGCTATTTTCTGTCCTTACCGCTAGCAATCAGTATATTGCAGTAGGATTTTCGGAGGATGACAAAATGGTGATGTTTCGCATCTTATTGTCGATTGTTTTTGTTGATGTAATTTAATGTTTATTACATTTATTGTTGTATCTCTTGAGGACCGAAAAGAAACTGAGCAATATAGCTACTTTACCTTAGGTGTCATCAGGGCCCGGCACGCGTTGGTTTGGAGGTTTTTAGGAAACGAAGTTCCCCATGACTTCGCGAAAATTCACGAAGTCCCTCTCGACGTGAAAATCAGTAGGGAAACACTTATTCAATTAAAATAGCAACAAAAAAGCGAAAAAAGCGCATTTTGAGGTATGTAATATAACAAAAAAGCAAAAAGAAAACATTTCGAGTCGATTAAAGGCTCTGCCATTGAGTATAGTACCATTTTGATGCTGGGAATATCAAGAATCTCCTAGGCCAAACAAATCTGTAGCCTCAACAATCTTGCGATGCATTTTTCGCCACATATTTCAAAGGACACTGCAAGCGATTGGAGCGCGATAACTATCAACGCGTAGAATTATACTACTTTTGACTCAAAAAAAAAGAGGAGAGGCAACGGTTTGATCCGCTCTCTTCACTATATGATAGATTTTTGACCGTTCTAATCGTCCAAATCAAAAAGGTCGTAAACTTATGTGAACTGTCCGATATTTATGCTCCGAACCAACCCAGCTGGTTTGGTAGTTGGTCTAGAAACCAACAAATTTGAGAACGGATATTAGGACACATAAGTTTTGGGAACTTTTTACATAACATAGTTTGGAGTGATATTGTATACTCACAGCCCAAATTCGGAGCCATGTGATTGTTTGTGCGCTGTAAACAAGCCATTTGTTTGTTTGAGTCTTGCATTTGAAATTCGCGCGCTTGCGAAAGAACAAGTTCAACTCGTGAAACCTGACATGTTCGTCGTGTTTTTTTGGCGCTTCCTCCAGGACCTCATAAAAACGATGTCCCCGTTGCTTCTAACTCCAAAAACGAAGTCCAGTTTGACCCCAAACCATCGGTGCCGGGCCCTGGGTGTCATACCATCAAAAACTATGTACATTTCTAATGGTTCAAAATTTCAAAATAGTTACTAACAGTATGAAAAAATATCTTCGGAAAACCAAAAAAAAAAGATTGAATTCAGGGCAACGACTACGTAATTGAATGCTCTGCTCTACCAAACCAAGAATACTCACTGAAATTTTCCTATAACAATGACTCTCCTAGAAATGTGCGCATTCCCGCTGAAGAGGTAAAAACCAGGTTAATATTTGCTACATATCGGAGAACTATTTTTGACTTTAGAGTATTGAATCGACATATTTCACGCAAAGCAACATCGTCACCGTCGATGGAGAACTGTATTGCTCAGCTGTAGTGGATGTATCTGGATGGGCACTAAATGATCAGGTAAAGAATTATGACACAACAAAATCGAAAACTGTAAAAATCGTATAGTTCTTGATTACTGATGCTTTCTTGAATGCTTCTCTATATATGCACCTCAGAAATTTCGATTTCTAAAATTTTTTTAACCTTTAGGTATTCACTTACAACCCTGCACAGGCCTACTATCTTCTGCTAGCCAGTGGCTTCACTGACAGTAATGGTAAGTTGAATAGAAATACATTTTACCTGAACATTTTGAGCTGAAGAGAAGTATCGTAAAAAGAAGTATCCTGATTCTTGAGTTTGTAAGATTCCATAAAAGAAACGAAAAGTAGTATATACAACTGAGTGTGGTAGTTTTGCGAAAGTAAGATAATGTGGGTAAACTAGGCTTTAACTTGAGTCTTTTCACCCTTTCGTCCTAGAAAAGACACTTTGACAAAGGCTTACACATAATATATTCGGCATGATAGTGAAAACGAAGGGTCACTTTGGCATCTTTTTCTATGGACGTGAACCATTCATAAAAGCGGCACTTTATCCTTCATTTTTTCTTCTTTCCGAAAATTTTTTGTACTTCTCGTTTCTGTGAATTTGAATTTTTACCAGTTATACCCAAAGGCTATAACACTTCACAGCCTGAAATGACGAAAAATTCTATGCAAAAATTTTTCTCACAGCCTTAATTTAGCAATAAAAGTGGACCTTAGAACTCATTACAGGAATGATATCCACGAAAATCCATAATGGAGGAAAATGGACTTTCAAACCCCATTTTATTCGTTCGCGGTGAAGAATGGTCGGAATCTGCTTTCGCTCGCGTTATCCGAAAATTTTCATCCCATCGCAACCACGAGGCAATGCGGTGAAATGAAAATGATTCAACCCTACCTGAGCTCTCGCTCGATGACGTCAAAAGTCCATTTAGAGTGGGGCAAAATGGGATTTACCTCCATTTTAAATGGACTTGAAAGCCCATTTCGCGGGGACTTTCGTGGATATCATTCCAGAACTACATTCACTATGTAAGACTTTTAGGGCTCACCATACATAAGCACACTTATGTTTCGACTCCTCGGTTGTTGGATGAAAGCGATACTCCTCCGGTAGGTAGTCCTCTCAATAAGGAATCACAATATGCAATCTTTTTCCTAGAATTCGTTCAACACCGCCACATGCGGTACCAAGAAGGGCTGTTTTATTTCTGATCAACCAAATGCTATGAGAGCATCTTATCAAGTAAGGGATGGGATGCATGTCACATGAATCTGAATCCATCCGCCATTATTCAGGTTCTCTCCGCTCAATTTATTCGTATCGAGCTTTCTATGAAAACTTCTACTATAACATCATTATATCTTGCTCTGGGCTTCTCCTTCGACAATCAGATGGTAAGTATGGGTTCGCATGACTCTAGTTCATATTTTCAAATTTTTTAGGGAAACGATAATGTTATCGAGTGCTCAGCTCTTACTGGGCAGTCATTATCGATGAAATTTTCATACAATCCAAGTCATACAAATGCGCGAATCAAAGGAGAAGAGGTAGATCATGACTAGATTTAGTATGAAATCATCTTTTCGGAACCCAAATCAAATTTTTAGACTATCAGATCACAGTATTTTCAAAATGAGACCGCAGCGATTACTGATGGAGTACTGTACTGCACAGCCGTAGTAGATGTTCGTGGTTGGCCCTCTTCGAATGGGCAGGTAAATCTGATGATTTTGTGACTAGGGATAAAAACTATGAATACATAATAGGATTTAAAAAATTCTAAAAACATCTAAAAGAAGAGAAATCTAATGTGATGTGAGGAGAGAGAGGACAAAAAATTGTAAACATCGACGATAATTTCTGCACTAAAAATGATGAGAATTTTAGGTGTTCCAATACAATGCAAATCAGACCTATTACTTGCTGCTAGCTGCCGGCTCAGCGCTCAGTTCAAGTGAGTTTCTTGAACAATGATTCACTCCATTACCATGTCCTTGAAGAGTTAACGCTATTTGATGAGCTTTAGTTTTCAGTAAAACTTGTAAAAATAGGGTAGAAACAATTATTCTCAAATTTAGGCCTCACACAACACAAAACAACGGATGTATCCAGTCCACGATTGCTAACGGACTACGATGCCGACTCCAGTAACGGAATGAATTCGACAACCAAGGGCAGCCTAATTAAAGCTCATGGTAAATTTGTAAAATAACAAATGTTATAACCTTTGTTTCAACTGGATTGGCGGCTGGAACGGGGCTTGATGACTTAATTTCGCTCGCGTTCGCGCCAGAGTCACAGTCGCCTCTCTCGCGCTCGTGCTCTCTGATCATTCTCTAGCCTTAACTAGCTCACAAAGCCGCGCCTTCCAGCCGCCAATCCAGGTGAGTCAAAGGGTTTCTTTGTGCACTAAGAGCTGAGCTAGGAGATGAACCGCGACAAATATTCAGTTCATTCATAACACATAAAGTCCATCTCGGGTGGAATAATAGCAACCTCTCTCACAGTCAATCACGCTGCTTTCATATTTTTTAAACCTGGGTGAAAGCATAATTTGGATCAATATTTTGGATGCTCACAGAAACTGTTAGTCAGCAATAGTCCTCAAAAACACACCAAGAGTCATAAATTTGGATATTCAGCTATTCTTATGTTGCTCGCATGGTTCATCTTTGTACCGACCGCTGCTATGTTTGCTCGATTCTTACGATCTAGCTGGCCTACGCTTAGACCTGGAGGAATACTCATCTGGTTCCACGTAAGAACGTTCATTTAATTCCTTCTCTAAGGTAAAAGAGATCATATACAACACAAAATATCTGCAGGTTCACCGTACCTCTAATTCGATAGCTATCACTTTGATGACGGCTTCTTTCATATGCATTCTGACAGCAAACAATTGGAAATGGAAAGGACCAGGTAACTTTGAGCCATTTCAAGGATAAGTGCTTACGCTTTCAGAGAAATCAGTAAATTTTGTAAAGGTAACTTATGCTTCAAATGGCTTGACAGCTGGAATTTGAGGCTTTGTGACCTATTAAGGCCGCTTGCCCCCGCGGCGCAGTCTGCGGCTCTCCCGCGCGCTGCTCTCTCAATTACCTGGCCTTAATTAGGTCACGAAGCCCCGCCTTCCAGTCGCCAAGCTAGTTGAGTCAAAGGTAGTTCTTCTTCTAATAAGTGGGAAAAATGCCAAATTTTAACTGAATTATAAAGTCACGGACAAAAATCCAACTAGCAAGATTCACTTTAGGATCCCACTCTGGAAAGTGGGTTGAAGCGCATACAATGATTGGAATTATTGCCCTATGTCTAGCGTGGATGCAACCATTTGTCAGTGCGATGAGGTAAAAGCTGATAGAGCAAAAATTGAAATCACATGCGTTAATTAATAGATTTTCCAACATTTTTAGATGCAACCCATCACATCCGCGTCGACCATACTTTAACTGGGTCCACCGCGGAATAGGTGCTACTGCAATGGTCTTAGCTAGTGAGTTTCGGCATCTAAGGATTGTGGCACCTAAACTATTTACGCAATAATGCACAACAAGTAGCCATAGGCGTTGTGCTGGTTACTTTATACCTTCAATAATCAGATCTATGTTCTAGCAACTGCGATTGCCATCGCTGCCTACCACTTCCTAAGCATTTGGCCTCATCAACTGATTCAACTCGTACTATCACTCGTGCCACTCGTTCTAATCCTCTCAATGAGCACAGGTTTCCTGCTTGTTGATAGGAAGGACATCATAAACGATTTGAACTTCAAAAAAGTGAGTCGGTTCAATAATGATAACCCTTTGCTTCAACCATATCGGCTGCTGGAAGACGAGGCTTCATGACCTAGGAAGCGACTGCTCGCGTTCGCAACGCAGTCTGCGCCGATCTCGCGAACATGCTCTCTGATCATTCCCTAGCCTTAATTAGGTCACGGAGCCCCGCCTTCCAGAAGTCAATTTAGTTGAAGCAAAGGGTGTGTAGCTTTGGTGAGCCAAAAAAGCTTTTTGATGTAAGTTGTGTCTTAGGAAAGCATTGTGCGATAGAGCAATATTTTGCAAATAAGATTTGTTTGATTATGCACGTTGAGACATTTGATATAGATAGCTCGGCATAGTGCTTTAAGATATGTTTTCCGCATGCGCACTTTGTTTGAAAAAAAAAGGATAATCAATTCATTAGAGCAAAGACGTATGTTTCCCAAAAGTGCATATCTCTTCTTTTCGACTACAAATCTACTGCTGTTACTTATAACCATGTATTATTCCAGGTTCAAAGAAATCGTGAACTTGTTGTGTATATAGCTGTTATAATTACAGCAGCTGTTGCCATCACATTATCCGTATTCGTAGGAATTGGAGCATAATAATATGTAGCATTCAAGCATTCTGTGCAATATTTTGGTTATGCTGTCTTGTATTAGGTTGGTGCAAAAGTAATGCGCGTTTTTCTAGCCCTTGTTTCAAGATAGCTTTTCTCCATCGAAGTTTCTCCTATGAAACTTGCTCAGCATACTGTTAAGAAGCTTCTTTCATGCTCTATTCAACGGTGGTTGAAAGAGCTTCTAGCCTCATTCTTTAAAATTTTATAGAGCTTCATACAACCGCACTCAAAACCAGAATTTCGTTGCACTTACTTTTTCGGCCAGAATTCAAACGTGAGTAAAGGCATCCTTTTGAAAATTTGACCACTGTATGTAGTAGAAATTTTCTATGTTATGCACGCTTTACTGTTTTCCTAAAAATTACTTAAAATGAGATCTCGGCGCCTCAACATAAGTGATGGTTTTGGCCATTCTGTGGCCTGTAGATTTTCTTTGAAGGGGGCAATCGCCAAAGTTCTGCTCATTTCTGTAAGCGTAAGGGTGGGACTCATGTTGACAGTTTTTGCGGAATGTGGAAGCTGTTCAGTATGTAGAAAATCAAAAATCTCCATATTTTGGGCTTTTGAGGGCTACGAAAAAATGTCAAAAAAAAGCGGGCAATTTTGAATATTATTTTCTTCCTTTTCGCAAGTATTCTTTATTTGAACTCTTTCGTACTTTTTTTGTACTACTATCTCGCGGCTACAAGATAGTCAACTTATCATTTATACCGACAAATCTTGAAGGAAGTTATGATCAGTTAAAAATGAGGTTTCCGAAAAAAAGATTTTTTTGCTTATCAATCCATATTTTTCCACCGATTTGCGATGATGAAATAAGTTAATGTGCGCTGTATAGAGAGAGATTTGGTGCCTCTGAGGAACTTTTCCGCACTGGAAAATATCGATTTTTTAGAAAGTTATGGCACGTCAAAGTGAGAACTCGCAAAACGCGCATTACTTTTGCACCAACCTAATATATTGGTAAGCAGTTATACAGGATAACGTGATTGTTTGTTCTTGAAATAAATATTCATTCCGTTTTGTTTGTCGTTACCAACATTTTTGCAAGCTCGGTACAAGTGGCACGAGCTCTATCTAGAGGTACATGTTTTCTGCCAGATGGTGAAACGCGGGTCCCGTTTCATGACGAATGGAAACGTACGTAGTAACAATGGCTAATTTCGCAATGGAAATTGCGACTAGAGCACTTCCATATGATTTCAAATTGCTTTCTGTGAGACACTGAGCATGAGCATTCATCAATTTTGTATGCAATCGTATTCACAGCTTGTGAGTCACATTTTCCGTTCTTTATTGAGGATTTCCACTATTGATCGTCCTGGTCTGCTTTGTGACTTTGACTGGTTTTTCTTGAATTTTAGACGGCTGGCCAAAACCATGCATATCCAAGTGCTGACACTATGACGCTTTCCTTCTCGATAATTTACAAGCTCAACAGGTGACTGTGAAAAGACTCGACATCCTACGTGGCTCAATTGCTCCTTTTCTTTCCACCAGGGTGTTTCTTCCAAAAAGGCTGTTGATTCAAATTTGAAACGGGAAATGCGGAAGCAGTCACGCTGCATTTTCTGATTTTTCATTCCGTACAAGGAGAAAGGGCTTTGCAGATGTTATATCTGCGTTCTGTTTCAACTGGTGCTTCACCATTCCTACTGCACTCGCCACTCCGCGATCACATTTTCTAGGCAACCATGTGGTCGGCGTAGATGACTCTGTAAGACTGTGCGGGAATGCGGTTCTTCAAACAAATGTAAGTTAAGCTTTCGTGATTTCGTAGAATAACATTTAAATAAAGATCCTTTTTCCAACTTCACTTATAAAAAACGATCAAGCCAACGAAGCCAATCTCGGATGATACCATCCCATATTGCAACAGCCAAATACTGAAATTTTCAAAATTCTACTTAAGCCAAAGCTCTTGAAATTACATAACCTTGTTACGCAGATAACAAATATATAGATGCAATTCCTTACGAAATCAAAAACTTGTAACAAATACTGATCGCTCTTTCTCAAAGTTTTCTCCTCATATAGGTACAAGATTCGTTCATGGGTATCATAGTATCAGCCTAATCTAGAAATCAGGCCTGCAGTAACATTGCCACAAACTTTAACTCCTTTTAATCTAAAAACGATGTTCAATTATTCAAAGGCTTTAAACCTCAAGTAAAACAAGAAATACGAGGTTAAATGTTAGTAAACATAGGAGTCATTAGGTGAAAGCAATTTCACAAGTATTCGATACCACGTTACTATACAAAGAACAAAAATGCAAAGAACACATTACGTAAGGAACGCTGTGCTGTTTCACACAATCGCTGTGCATTGAAAAAACGATACACTAGCTATGAATGCATTGCATTGCAATGCATGATATTGTTGTATCAGAAGTCTATTTGATGAAATCATAGCTAAATAGCTTATCTCGCATTTGATTATGTACAACCAATTTTCTCTAAAATACCGCTGACATAAGGTGGTCGTAATGGCGCTGGGGAAGTAAGAGTCAAACACCAGTGTTAGAAATATCAACATGAGTTTTGCTTAAAGTTGCTCATGACCATGCTACAGAACAGGCGCAATCTGTTTACGTAAAGCAAGTCGCTAGCAGATCCCGCTCGACATCGAAGGGTCATTTTCATGCCCTAGGGTCGCCATGATTTGTTGCAACTGGCAGTTACATATGCCAAAAGGCAACATGTGGAACTTATACTATAAGTAATTTTATACCTTCACTGATAACTGTGACAATGGCTTACCCTAGGCCAGTTCGTAAGCGCCATACGGCGAATCTGCTTCATGTCCTTCTCGACATGGTTAATGGCGGTTAGGGCCCGGTATGAGTCCGTTGTTAAGCTTTTTGATTACAAAGTCTCCCCTCATTTTCAAAAATTTTACGAATGCCTTTGATTCTTGCTCACCCCTTTTCCACTCTCTGACTGTCAGCGGATAAAATTTCCGGCTTAAGTCCGAGAAATTGGAAACAAACTCTTACAAGAATTATTCGTTATTAATCATGTTTCGAAAGAACGAGTTTAAATTTATTAACCACAAAATCAACATATAAAAAATACGAAAATGCGAAAAAATAAACATACATTACCACGAACAAGCAGTTTGCTGATTGAAAAGCGGGACAAACCCCATAAATTGGTCGCGGTGGTTGACATAAGGCGGGGGTGGGAAGCACTCCCGTTTGCGGCTAACAGGAAAGGCATAATGAAAAACAAAAACAAAAATGAGGATGCAGGACCGGTAATATTAGCCGGTACAAATCGGACACCGCTCAGTTTAGATTGAGATCAACGGAAAAGAAGCTCTTCAAATGAGATAGGTAAGAAGGTAAATAAGATGAGGTGACTGATGCACAAGAATGAACAAAATCATCAAAATTTCGCAATCAAAGCTAAGTTGGCAGTGAGGAAAAGAGCGGAAAATGACGATGGTGCGCGATATCCAGCAAGTTAATTTTTGGAAAAAGAGGAAAAACGGCACACAGCGGGAGATATAAAAAAGGCCTTATGCTGATGACCTTCTTTCGTGCGCATAATTATCTTCTCTGAGCATGGCTCTCTTGCATCCGAGCATCTCTGAACCATGCACTTGCCGGAGGTGCAGAATGGTTACACCCATCTAGCGGCCCTTTCTTTTACCTATGATGTTGTTTCCTTACAAATTTGCATTTCAATCTAGAAACCTTTGCAATAATTATTAAAGAATTCTTGCACGCCTTCTGCTACATCATCGCGATTTTCTCATACTTTTTAGAAAGCCCTTTAGTTCGTTTCAAGTCTTCGTTCGGATTGAAAAACAGTAAAAGGAGAAGTCTCATCGTTAGTAACTTTGCCCAATCACTGGAATTTCGCTCTACATTGCTGCGTAAACGCGGATCCTCCTTGTAAATCCACATAGCTGTGAAGCTGAACTTCGCCAATCAGTTTTTTTTTCTGAATTTGAAATCATCTTCTCTAGTGTATGGCTTGCATGTAATCTACGTGCAAGCTACTCCTTTGATTTCAAAACAGCCTCAACGCAAAACCTCACCCAATGTTTCTTGTCCCACGCCTTATTCAAAGCGAGCTCGTGGAGCCACCCCCCCCCCCACTACATCAATCCTTTCATCGAAATTTGACGAAGAAAGGCGATTGACGCGCATGAGTAGCAGTGCTGCAGTGTAGTCCCAATGGTCTGGTGGCTAAGGGGTATCTGTGCCGTATTAGATGTTGTAGGCATTCTGATTCGCGTAAGGTAAGGCACATTGTCCATAACTAGACATAGCGCTTTCCATTTGCCCTCCCTATCATGCATGGAAAACATTCCTGTAGCCATGCTTGGAATAGAGCGTGGTTTATTTTTATGATAATTCCCAATTTCAACCGTTTCTTGTATTAGAGTTCTCGTGCAGTTACCATCTTCCGCTATCTGCTATCAGCGGCTCTCGTAACTTCTCTAGATCAAATTTCAGCCGAATCTGAGATTTTGACTCCATACCTACCGTAACCTAACCACATGGCTCTGTTGTAAGGCTTGCTTTATAAAAGTGTGAGCAAGCTTAGATCTGTTTGTTTGCTAAATTCAATTGTTTTATTTCATAATATTTTTATTTCACCTGTTCTATCTATTTAATTAGTATGTGGCAGCTTTCGTAAAACTATACAATTGAGGATTACAGGTTAATGAAATGAGAAGAAATATTACACAGTAGGTACACGTATGTACAAAAGATCAAAAAAAATTGAGATTGATTGCTACGTGTTTGAAAAAAATGACACTGATCAAAGACATGAATACGTATACAGCACATAAGTTAAAACACTTGAGCGCAATGAGAAAATGTGTCAGAACACAGATTGATTAAATATGTACGTGTTGAGAAGAGATACAAAAGCATGCAAGATTAAAGATTCATAGGAAAATTTAAGCGGTTTTCCACTTAAAAAGTTGATCACACGGAAATTCGAGCGATTTCCACCACAATAAAACGTTGAGAGTTACAAGACCATTTCTGATTTTTCACATAAATGGACTTATGTTTTTAGCAGATAAACCTTGCAGCATGATAGCTGGTTTAATTTTTATCCCCGATCCAGATGCTGTAGTCTTTGATATTTCTTCTATTTTCACTCCACCCTAAACGAAAAACTTGATAAGACAAATACTTACAAAGTAAATATGACATATCAGCAATATTCTGTTGAATTCTGACGCAGTTATATAAGGCTTAACGAACGGATGGAGCGTTTCCACAGATATGCTGGATAGATCATCGTTGTCGATTTTAGAACGTGAGAGTTTTGAACGAGTGATCTGAAAGGCAACAATCATAATGATGAAAAGAATAGATTAAATATAAAACTAAATTGAACTGTAGCTTACTCTTTGAAAAGCATTATAAAGAGGTAATGATTCTATGATGCTGTGTCCATCCAAAATCCATCAAACTCGATCGTAAGATGCTCAGCGGAGAAAATATTCATTAATTGAAGCAAGCCAAAAGCGCTTATTCAACAATTTATGAACTGTAGATGTTGGATTGTAGAGTGAAGGCCGGCCGCGATGCACTGTGGAGCTGAACCTCGCCAATCAGTTTTTTTTTTGCTGAATTTGAACCACCTTTTTTAATGTAATGGCTCTCGTGTAACCTACGTGTAACGCTACTCCTTTAATTTCAAGATAGCCTCCTATCTGTGCCGTATTGGATAACGTTGTCAGCATCCTGATTCGCGTAAGGTATAAGACACATGGTCCATTACTAGACATAGCCCCTTCCACTTGCCCTCTCTATCACGTTCCCGTAGCCACGCTTTGAATAGAACGTGGCTCATATCCTTGAAAAAAATCCTCAATTTCGTTCGTCTCTCTTACAAAATTTCTCGGGCAGATCACCATCTTCCGCTATGCGTCTATAACTACCACCCGTTTCCTTGTTTTTGCTCGCTGTCCGTCCGCACATGTAGATGATGAAATCAGACTGCTGATCACGAATTACCATAAACTACATGACGATATTTGCTTGTTGAACATATGTTTTGATCATTTTTTGCTTCCGTGTATACTAGATCTTCTCCAGCTTCCTTTGTGAGAGCATAGAGCAGGGCCCGGCACGAGGTAAGCAGACGGGGTTTTCCAACACGAATTCCCCTTTGACCCCAATAGTTTTTACGGATAACCCCTTGAGCCCAAAAATGACGCTTTGTGCTTGTGAAACGAGAGCACCGGCCACACTTCGCCTAAAAGCGCTCAAAAGCGCCCAAAATGCTCAAATTCCTCTAATTACTCCTCACCTGCATCAAGATAGAAAACAGGAAGAAGAATAAGCAAGAAAAATGATGAAGGAATGAAAAAATATCAAAGTAACGCAGTCATAGGACTGAGAGACGTTACGACGACGCCGCTTCAGTCAATCGATACGCCGTTCTCGCGCGTATCGATTGACTGAGGCGCGCTCTTCATCTTAAAAAGCTAGGCTGCTGATGCGATTTTGGGCTCTAATAAAGACAAGAGGAGGAGTTTCGGAACCAAAATTTCACCATATAGTAAACTTTAGGTGAACAACAGATTTATGTAAAAATTTTGAAAAATTATGTGAATTGAAAGTTTTGCCCTTTTCAGGTGGGCATTAGGTGGGCAGTTGCCCACCTAATTTGGAAAAAAGTTAAGCACACTCTTCATTCACATAAGTTTTTCATAATTTTTCATACATTGTTCCTTAGTCCTACTGCGCGTATACACACCAAGTCTCGCGCGATTCGTTTTCTCTGCGCTGCAAACGAGCCATTTTTCCGTTTTCTTGATAGTGGGAAATTTTCAGATGAAAGCTTGCCACAACCTTCATTCACATAATTTTTCAATGAAACTTCCAAGATAAGCCCTGCAGGCCCGTGTTCATGTACCTACCAAGTTTCATACCGTATGGTCATCTGTGCGCTGCAAACGAGCCATTTGAATTCACATTTTCATTTACCAGTTTTGCTAAATTTTTGGAAAAAATGCTTATCACATCTCCCATTCACATAAGTTTTTCATAACATTTCATTCTTTGTTTCTACTAGCCTCTTGTTCGCTTACGTAATTTGGTGCTATATCATTACGCCTGCATTGCGAACTGATCACGTAATCATGCTGTTCAACGGCATCGCTCATGCGACGTCGCGCACGCGGAAATGAGCGGCAACGCGGCGTAGTGCGAGCGAAGTCTGCTGTGCGTTGAGGTTTGAAAATATTTTCCGATGAATTATATGTGAGGTAAGTAATTATAATCATTAATTATAAGGTAAGCATGATTCGACCTTCTTTTGCTTGCACTTGGAATCTTCTTCCGGGGCTCCGCCCGGGTCCCGCAAAAATGATATCCCCTTTGCTTTTTGGCTCTAAAACGATTTCCAGCTTGTCATTTGTCCACCTCGTACGGGCCCGACATAGAGCGCAGGTACTTTTTGCCAATAGATTATTAGAGTAGTTGCGAATAATAAATATAGAGACAAAGAAGCCGTAGAAAACAGCAAACATTGAAAGAGTGATAAACACGAAGTTGATGTGATCGATGAAATAGACTCCATGGCGGCCACTATTGATCAAAAATTAGCAAAGTGTCCCAAACATGCGCCCGCAACAAGGCACGATCCCAAAGCAAGGTGATCACACTAATCCATGCCACATGATGCATTGACATAGGAACTGAAGGTGAATATCCGATAAAAATTGTGCAACTAAGGCGCAAATAATTTGAGGTCGATACGGTCTTTTTTGTAAATCGCATGGTAGAGCATCAGTCGTACATCATTATAGTTGTTTTGAAGAGGATGCACAACATATGATGTTGTGTCGATCGAATTGTAAAGTACACCTATTTCAGCGAAATTTTCCGTTCTTGTCCACTCAGCAATTTTTGAAATACTTCGCATGGCAGAACTATAGTCATGTGCATGCTTGCCGGTATTACGTACTACCCTCAACTTCATTTTTGCTCTCTCTCTCTCTCACACAAAAAAGGACTCAAACGCGGGCGTGTAAATGTCATGCCTCTATACAGCTGATAACGATGGGGATCCCACTGCTGAACTCTGCCCCATACGCATTTACAGCTTTGATCGATGGAAGTTCATAGACAAAGGTGATAAGGCAGCAATCACACCATAGAACGGTTACCGTGAAGGAAGATCTAATAGAATAGCTGGGATTTTCAATGATTTCAGGAGACCTCTACTACCCTCCGAATCTATTTAAAGTAGGAAACCACGAAAAACCTTCAAGGTCGAGTACAGAAAAAAAGGCTGGAAGATCAAGCAAAAAGAAACTGTTGAATGCATTGATTGAACGTTCGAGAGCTCTTTAGAAAGCCAACGATTACGATGTTTGCTGCTACCAATCAACGACATCTTGTAGTTATCTTCTTGCACTTTTCATTTGTTAGGACTTTTTGGAAAAGACAACATTGCGGCAAGTAAATATTCTTAGAATAGCAGACCTGGTTTGCTCAAGAAAAATACGTAACAAAACTTATTCGATTTCCGCAGAAATTATATAACTCTTCAATTATTTCGATCAGAAAAAACTTACGTGCACGAACTCAACGCTTTAGTTCTGGCATGCGTTCCCCTTAAAGACAGTGCCTGGGCAAAATCGGGATGGTGGATTTTAGCTTGATCTGAAAGCGCAGCCCTCGAACAACCCTTGGCACTAGTAAAGTCATAATGTCAAACCAAAATGTAGAAATTTGCTTGGAAAGGTGGGAACTTATGCCCTGAGGGAGAAGGAAAGGGAAGCCGCCCGCCTGTGGTTCACATTGCAAGCTATCAGGGCTCGGCACCAGCTGGCACCGGAACCACCAAAATTTTGAAACGAAGTCCTCTTTGATCTCAGAAGTTTCGTACGAAGTCCCTTTTCACGTGTTTTGCATTTGCATAGGGCGCGCTTTGTGATTAGAGCAGATTTTTTGACTGCCGAGAAGACCGATAAATCTTCGGATGGCTGTAAAATGCCGAAAAAAACATTATGAAATTATTTTGCTCTGTATGTAAACTTTTACAGTACAGATACAATTCATGTAAAAAAGTATGAAAACTTATGTGAGCAAAGGGTCGGTGCCAGCTCAGCTGGCACCCAGCTGGCACGGTGCCAGCTAATTCAGAAAAAAGTTCAGCGCAACTTTCATTCACATAAGTTTTCATAAATTTTTGGGCCATAGTTCGAGTCCCCCAACGCGCATGCACACAGCAAATTTGGTGTCATATGATTTCGTTTTCGTTGTAAAAAAAGGCTTTTGTTTGTGGCAGGGGCAAACCACTGGCGACTTGCCGGCAGCGTGCCACTGGCATTCTAGCAAACAGCGGCATCTAAGGGTTGTTTCAGACTGCCGCAGTGACTGCAGCAGACTGCAGCAGACTGCAGCTGACCGCACTGACTGCAGCAGACTGCAGCAGACTGCAGCAGACTGCAACTGACTGCAGCTGACTGCAGCTGACCGCACTGACCACACTGACCGCACCGATCGCAGCCTCTTTTCTTGAAAGAAAAAACAACCGCGATTATCAAAACAGCGTGATTTCTCATAAGAAGATCATAAGTTCCATCAGAATTCTTCTCAATCAAATTTGGGCGATAGTTTTCTTTGGTATGTTCGTATTTGTTCTAATTCTTCCTATCATTGCATACCTGTTTTGTAACATTCTAAACCTTGTTGTCTTTTGCTTTTACGTATGTGTTGTTGTTGTTTGTTTAAAGCACGACTATTTATCCTCTCCGCCTGCAGACTTCAGCCGCTGCGATCGTTGCGGTCAGTGCGGTCAGCTGCAGTCTGCTGCAGTCAGTGCAGTCAGCTGCAGTCTGCTGCAGTCTGCTGCGGTCAGTGCAGACTGCTGCAGTCAGTGCGGCAGTATGAAACAACCCTAACCCGCAATCAAGATATCCCCTTTGCTTTCCGCCCCAAAAACGATATCCAGCTTGACCGGATGCCAGCTGTGCTGAGCCCTGCAAGCTATAGTGCGTATGCCACCATGGTTGCAATCGTGGGTCCCACAGCGACTCTGCGTCTCGACTTTGGACGTAACTGTTTCGTGGGTGGAGGATATTAGATTGCCAATGAGCTTCATTAGCGCTGACAAACATAGCTGTGACGGAGAGGAGTGCGCATTGCTGCAGATGTTCGCACGGAAGCTCGCCTTCCAGCAACTCATAGTCTTCTACCTGTTCCAATAGTCCAATTTCGAAGGTAAAACTTCGAAAAAAAGTGTTTTTGTCGTTTACGCTCCCTCAAACGTGATTTCGAGATTTAGCATAGCAAATATTCAGGTAAGCGAAAAAGCTAGATATTGAGTTTTTGCCGGAGCATTGTGTTTCCGATCGGTGTTGCATATGGTACATCTGCGAATTTCAAGTTCTTCTAGCAAGTCATGTTAACATAGTTCAAAAGTAGAACTATGAAAAAACTATCAAGAGGAAAGCCTAAGTTTGTCTTAGTTAAGTGTGTGGGCTTGCCGCCGGTTTGATATATAGAATGGGGGACAGAATAACACATGCAAGGCAGTGCGGCAATAAAACACGCGTGTGACTCACAACTTAAATTTGCTTCTTTCAGGAAAGAAACACTGTTTATGGAAAAGATGTATTCTTGGGTACTAGTTGAGATTAGAGTCTTTCCTCCCAAAAAAACCTAACAGGCATAGTCGATTCGTTGGCCGCACTGTATGGACATCACTGCGAAAAAGCGAGGCGAA